AATGCTGTATGCTGAAGTTATAGAATTCAAAAAAAATTAAAAAACAGTACTGGCACCAGTGTAGAAAAGACCAACAGGAAAATAACCCAGAAATGAAACATGTTACGTATAAAGATCTGATTATATGTGATCAAAGAAGTACACCTATCCATAGGGAAGGCAGGATTATTTAACAAATAGTGTTAATAGAATTGTAAGCAATTTGGAGTAACAGAAATTTAGATTTTTAAAATACATACTAAAATAAATGCCAGATGGGTTCAATAATGACATTGAAAAACAGCAAGCCAAAGAACTGAATTGGGTGCTGTTTGAATTTAAGAAGATTGATTGGACTGGGGGTGTGGCTGGGTGGCGGAGTGCTCGCCTTCATGCAGAACGCCCCTGGGTTTGATCCCCAGTGCTACCAAACAAAGAACCTGAACACAGTGAGGGTTAGTGGACGAATTTGTAAAGGAGCTGATTGAGAGTAGAGTACATGAAAATTTTATGTCATCCAAAAGTGTAACCGAAATGAAAAAAAGTCTAGCAGAGGGTAAAAATACTTGTAGCAAATTTCTAAATATTGAAATAGCTTACATATAAATTCATATGCAAAAATGTATACAGACAGAGCAAGTCTGAATAAAATAGAAAGCTCAGTAACAACAAACATGAAAAAATGTCAACACCAATGCAACTACTAAGGAATTACCAGGAATCGCTCATTAAATGAACACCAACTCCCATGCTGGCCAGAGTACCAAAAGGAGACACGTAGATTGCTAATGGACTTACATATGCAATGCAAAGCGCTCTTGTGATATGTCAAGATTCATAAAAAGTCATCATATTTTTTGACCCTGAAATCTCACAACTGGGAATTGATCCAAAGAAATTAGCCAGCCCCCTTCTTTTTCCAGAAACAAACCTATAAACCTTAAAGATGTTCACAGAGTTGTTTCAAACAGTGAAAAATTAGAATCAACCTAAGTGATTAATACAGGGAAGTAATTCAGATATGCTTATGTCCCCTGCTGGAGTACAATGCAGTGATTAAAAATATGGTCATAGAGATTGCAGTTGAATGATGTGATATGGATAGTTTTTTTAAATGAGGTTTGAAATTATATATACAAGTTAGACTAATTCTGACTGGAAGGAAGGACATAAAGATGATAAACGGTTGTGATGAAGGGACAACTGATAATTGTTTTCATCGTGTCTGTGAGCCAATTTTATTAGGCTGCATTGGGATAGACCCCGATCAGGGTGACTGATGTACCTACGTTACGAGGACATCATGGCTTTAGAAATGGGAGACAGCCTGTTGTGGTTGTTCTCGCGAGTGTGTAACCTTGACTTAGTACTCAACCAGAATCCCAGTTTCATTATCTGAAAAGGAAGTTTATACCTTTTCCTCATGACTGTTAGGTAGATTAATCAGAACTAGGTAGTAGCTATTAATAAACAGATACAGGTTTGCTCCACGTCACATCTGGAACAATCTGTCAGTCAACTGAGAAGCACACGATCTCACTTAACTAACAACAGGTTTATTTCTCACTTGTATCATTTATTAGTGCAGGTAGCCGTGGTTCTGTATTCTCTTTATTCTGAGATGCAAAGGGAGAGAAAGATGGCAAAGCACACAATGGCTCCTGAAATTCTGCTAGTGGTGGCAGGCTTCTGTTGTATTGCATTGGGTGGGAGGGTCACGTCAGTTGCACTGGAGGCATATTCCTCTTGTGGGAATGGTGCGGTGCAATCAGGCAGCATGTATTTTGAACAGGTAACATAATCTGTGACAAGGTGTGTATAATTCTTCCTGTCACTTTAGTAAGTATGTGATAACCTGGAGAAATCTAGAGAAGATCAGGCTGGAGATTTCAACCTGAAATACAGTGGGAAGAGAGCTGATGGTAAGGGAGGGGCAATGCTGCCTCCAGTTGTTTTTGTTTGTTTGGTGTGGGTTTTTTGGGGGTTTTGTTTTTTTGGGGGGGTCTTTTTGAGACAGGGTCTTGCTATGCAGTTCAAGCTAGTCCTGAGCTCACTTTGTAGCCGAGGCTGGTCTCGAACTCACAATGATCCTCCTGCGTCAGCCTCCCGAATGCTGGGATTACAGGTGTGCGCCACCACACCCAGCTCTGTTTCCAGATATTTAATGAATAGCTGTCCCTGGACAGTGAGTTTAGGACAGTGCTGAATGGCACCAGTGGGTAGAAGTTGATTCAGTGTAAGGGCGTAAGTAGGAAAGGCAGCAGAAAAGGGAATTGTTGGTTATTTTAATTGTTACTTTGCGTATATTCCTCAAATAACCTAATGAGGTATGTGTGAGAGAATTTTGTATGAATATCAGAGAGAACGGACTCAAAATGGGTAAGTACCTAAGGTCACATCACAAATAGGTGGCAGCCCAGCTTGGAAACCAAGTCTATATAATGTCTGTGTTTTGCTAGTCTCCAGTAGGCTGTAAGCCTCCTTACAGTTCAACTGTTCATCACTGGTCATCTTCTACCTGGCAAAGTAGTAGCCACTCCTCCTCCTTCAGTATTAGGGTTTGAACAGAATAGAGGGAGAGCTGGCAGGGAAGGTCGGGCTCTCAGACCCACCTAAACGAAGGGTCCACAAACCTAATTGGTCGCATACACCGCTCAACAAAATACTTGAGCTGATACCATGTAGAGGATTCAGCCCCCCTTTCACATGGTGAAATTGAGGCTCAGAGAAATTTCTCTATACCATGTCATGTGTGTTATAAAACATAGAAAATGGAAATTTAAAAAGACTAAGGTGTTTTTTTTGTTTTTTTTTTTGTCTTTTTGAGACAGGGTCTTGATATGCAGTTCAGGCTGGCCTTGAGCTCACCTTGTACCCCAAAGTGAACCAGGCTGGTCTCGAACTTGCAATGATCCTCCTGCCTCAGCCTCTCGAGTGCTGGGATTACAGGTGTGTGCCACCACGCCCAGCAAAATATTAAGATTATATATAAAATATTTTGGGGTTTTTGTTTGTTTGTTTGTTTTTGGTACTGGGAATGGAATTCAGGACCTTGCACTTGCCAGGCAGGCACTTGTGCCACGGAGCTACATCCCCGGCCCAATATTTCGGGTTTCAGTAAGTTAGAGTTTATGCAAGATCCTAACTCCACTGTTTTACAGGTCGGTACATACTCTTTCCTTATACCTGTGAATTGTTCCTTGTGCACTCACCGAGCGGCGCACCGCCAGCACTATAGGTTCATTTTGAGTGGTTTTGTAAAGCTCGTCTCAGTATGAAGATTCTGCCATTGTTCTGAGTGTGTGGCTTCATTCTCCTTAGAGAAGTATTGACTTATTTTATTTTTGTGGTGCTGGGGATCAAACCTAGGACCTCAGGGGCGCTGCATTAACACTGCGCTGAACTGCGTCCCAGCCCCAGAAAGGCCTTTTAGGTAGACTGTTTACAGCTCAGACTAGAAAGTCTCTGCTGGCATTTGTAGCAGCAGTTAACCCTGAAACCACATGGTGTGAAAGATGTTTTTCCAGAAAATGAGAGCAAACCCACAAGCATTACAATCTCTGTATAAAGAAGATGTAAATAGAGGTTATTATTAAAGTAATAAACCTGATTTCTGTGTGTGACACAAGAAACAGCCTCATTATTGTAGCCATCCTCTTCTAAATCTCTGTATGTCCAAACTTAATGTAGTCTTACGTTCTAAAATGAATCTGAAGTTTTACCTTGAGGGTAATGCGAGTTTTTGTACTGGGGCAAATTATTATTTAGCTCTGTTCTAGAGGGGAACCAAAGTTTTACATTAGGCTAAGCCTATTGAACTAACATTTTTTATTGAGAAAGAGAAATACCCTCTAAGAAGCCAAGGAGCCATTAACATTACTGAGTAAGGGAAAGGTTGGTTTTTCTGCATCCTGATCCCACTGGTTGGCCATTGCCAGGCTGACCGTCGCCTAACACTGTAATTCACAATAAAGACGTGCGGCATCAGCCCGGCAGTGTGTTTGTGACATATGTCCCGAGTGGCCCTAGGCCGGAATTCCTTGGTAATAACGCCTAGGGATCCTTTTGTTCTAGAAGAGTATGGCTTAAATGCTTTAATTTGGTGTTTCCTAAATTTTTGTATTCTTTTCTCAATCATCCAGTGCTTCTTTGTGCTGAACACCAAGGACCTATTTAGTTACACTGGCATAGAAGGCCACTGGCACTGGTTTGCGCTTACTAGCATAGTTAGGAGGCCTGCTGTGGGGCGGCTTGTGTTTGCCTGCCTTTGCTTGCCTCATCTCTTTCCATATCTGTTTCCCTACCTCTTCCCCTCCTCCTCTTCCTCTTCTTCCTCTTCTTCCTCCTTTTTTTTTTTTTTTAAACCTTTTGGAGACAGGGTCTCAGTATGCAGTTCAGGCTGCCCTTGCACTCACTTTGTGTGCCAGGCTGGCCTCTAACACACAGCGATCCTCCTGCCTCAGCCTCCTGAGTACTGGGATTACAGGCGTGCACCACCATGCCCCACTCCTCTCCTTTTTATAACTCTTTTCTCCTTTGAGAAAATAACAAGGGCATTTTAGAGTCAGCTCATAAAACTTACATGGTATAGTTATGAGAGAGATGAATAAACTTGTTTTAAAGAGCAAATACCATCTCACCTTTGCTAGGTTTGTTACCTCACTCAGAAACCTTGTATCTTAAATGGTTTATATGATGCTCAAATTCTAGGATAAGTAAAATTATTAACAGTATGTTTTTATTCAGATGTGCTTTTTGATGCAAACATTCATATGATTAGATAATATTTATTAGTCTTTGCTTATATACTTCTGAATTAGAATTCTAATTGTATTATTTCTGGAATTAGCTATTTTGTACATTTCTGTTTTTAAATTACAACTTGCATATTTCTTATTTTTTTAATGCTTTGCTTTGTTACCTAAAATGTGTCCTAGTTAATTATAGACATTTTTTTTGCTATTGTCTTCTGTACTGATGAATTTAGAAGTGATTGAAAGAATAATTCTTGTCTTCTTTAGCATCAGACAACAGTCAGCGGTTTCGAGAAACCTGTTTTGCGTTTGCCTTGACCCCGCAGCAAGTGCAGCAGATCAGTAGCTCCATGTAAGTTGTCTCCAAGAGTAACTGCAGCGTGGCTTTAAGTACGGTGCTGCCAGGAGTGATTTTTAAAAAACAACGTTTTGGGTGGGTTCATATTAGTGTCCTACAATTACTAGTATTGAAAATATTGCCAGACATGGTGGCACACATGTATAATCCCAGCACTTGGGAGGCTGAGGCAGAAGGATCACTGTGAGTTCAGGGCCTGCCTGGGTAAGGTCAAGGGCAGCCTGAACTACATAGTGAGACCTGTCTCAAGGGGAAACAAACAAACAAACAAAAGAAAATATTATTACAGTATGATGGTACCTTGGTTCACAAACTTAATTCTTTGTACCGTTCTGGTCACACACTAAACTGGATGAGAACTGAATCACATCCAGTGCTTGGGTTCAGTGTTACCTTATGGGGAAATTTGATTCGGTTTTTGTCCAATTTAGTTTGCGGCTGGAGTCATGGAGGACTTAAATTCATGAACCCTGGCACTACTACTGTATGTTAAGAACCACTATATCTCTGATAATTAAAAAAAAAAAAAACCTTTCTAGGGTAACAGTGGGTTTTTTGTTGCTGTTGTTTGTTTGTTTGTCTTTTTGAGACGGTCTCACTATGCAGTTCAGGCTGGTCTTGAGCTTATTTTGTACCCCAGGCTGGCCTCAAACTCGAAACAATCTTCCTGCCTCAGCTTCCCGAGTGCTGGCATTACAGGCTTGCACCACCACACCCGGCTGTAACAGTGTTTATGAATAAGCTTTCATTTTCATATTTTTTAAAAATAATGTTCTTTCTTATTCTGTTTATTTTAGGGATATTTCTGGGACCAAATGCGACTTCACAGTGCAGGTCCAGTTAAGGTATGGTGTTGACTACAGCATCTATCCAAAGTTTAAAAGATCATTTCCCCTAAAGATTAATTTAAAATCTGCCTGATTTTCAGTAAATGTATTGAAGGTATTGGGTTTAGATATTTGGGCAAGGGAAAACATTCTCGTGTTAGGGGATATCATAATTTTTACCCAATTTATTTTGGTATAGCAAGTCGTGTTACATATTTACTCACATTTTTGCACTTTGAGAAGCTTCAGCCAGTGGTGTCTTTTGAAATATTGTAGTGGTCAGCTCTTAGAGCAACTTCTGTGAGAGGAAGAACCTTGTGCCTATTAGAGGCACACTGCCATAGACAAGGGACTAGTGCTAAAGCCTGCCACATCTCATGGGCTAACCAGACACCAGGCAGCTTAGTGGGTTTCCCTTCCTTTCGCCCTCCCATCCTCCCCTCTCCTCCCGTCCCCTCTGTTTTTCACAGTAGCAAAGGTTTTTTTTCTTCTTCTTTTAGAGAAATATGCTCTACAGAGCAAGTTTTGGCTAAGTAGGAAAAGAAGTACCCCCTGTCTAGTCTGAGGGTGGGCCACCATGCAAGAGAGCGGCCTCTCCTGAGTTTCAAGTTTCAAGCCTTAGGAGACCCATCTAGTGTTCAACCCATGTGAGACCACTCTTGGACGTTCTCGATGGCAAAGAGAAAGATTCTCAACGTGGGTTCATAGCTGCACCTTACTCATTTCTTTGACTATCTACCGTCTTTTTGTGTTAATATGTGTCTCTTGCTTATATAAACCGATTTTATTCTGCTCTAATTATTCCTTGACTATCCATATACAAACCTAAGTGTTCTACATTGTTCTTGTTGATTAGAGGGTAGAGGCAGAAATAAAAGGACATTTTCCTAACTAAGCTATTTTTCATATATTGTGGAGAAGTCAAACAAGTTAGTCTTGACAGTCAGATACTAAGTTGTACGTGCAAATTATAAATGCAGTAGTGGGTCAGAAGGGAAAGTGCCAGCCTCACACTTCACAGAGCAGTGTGAACACCGATTTAGGCTTAAAAATACGAGGTAAAAACAGTGAGGAAGCAAAGGAGCGGGTGAGTTGGAGATTCTAGGAAGAATGTAAACATACTTATTAGCTTTTGCACCACAAAAAAATGTGACAGGACACCTTCCCCATTAGACCAGTGATAATTTAAGTCGTGGTTTTGGAAAGATTTGTATAGATTGTACAGTTCATCATCCTCTACGCGGGCATATTATGGTAATGACTGAGTAAAGGACAAAAATATGATGCCTTTATAGTTAGTTAAGCATTACATACAAGAGGTATTTAAAGAAAAAAAAAGTACAATCTTCTGACCCCCTTTCCTCGACCATTTATGTTACACTTTGTACATATTTACAAGTTTGCTTTTGCTTTTGCTTATGTATTGGGGAGTAAAACCAAGGCTTTTGTGCCCAGTGACGTTCTTCTCCCTTTTTATTTTTTCCTTTTGAGACAGTCTCCTGCTAAGTTGTCCAGTCGGATTTTGAATTTAGAATCCCCCTGACTCAGCTTCCTGAGTAGCTGGGATTATAGGCATGTGTGGCATGCCTGGCTCACAGTGCATTTTATTTATTTATTTATTTTTTCACAGTGCATTTTAAACAGACACTTGTAATATTTGAGCTCCATGTAATGGCAACAGGAAGTGGCTACAGGATTATTACTGTACTGCAGTCAGTTTATGTAGTTATGTGTTAATACTGCTTTTGTCTGTTTACATTTTGTGGGCCGAAAATGGTGCCGTGTACAACCTGTGTGTACATAAGTTTTCACTTTCTATCATTCGTGTGCATTTCATGATGGTCTCAATGATAAAACAGACTATTTCCTACATATATTTTATGCATTCAGGACATAATTTTTTAAAGATACTTGGGCATCACCAGTGTAGTGGTTTGTCTGTCCAAATTCCAAATTCACAGATCTCCAGCGCAAGAGAAGAAGAATATCTGTGTATAAATGGACCTGTGCACTTCAGACCTGTGTTATTCAAGGGTCTACTACTGTATTTTAAGCTGGTTTACCCATCCTTAATCATTATAGGGAATGTGTTTTTTTAAATAGTTTTCTCTTTTTTGGTTGTTTTTATAAGTTGATCATCTTTTAGTTAGCTATTGACAAAAATTTTAATGATGTTTTAATGAAATTACCTTTAATAAAGGAAATTAAACAACCTTTATTCTTTAGGTTTTGTTTATCTGAAACCAGTTGTCCACAAGAGGATCACTTCCCACCCAATCTTTGCGTGAAAGTGAATACAAAACCTTGCAGCCTTCCAGTAAGTCCTAAAAGCTGATTTTTAAATACGTTACCAGCATGACTAATAAATAAGTCGTTGCAGCTGTTGGTAATCTAATTTTTTCATTAAGAAAACATTTTTATTTGGGGATGCATCTGTGTCTGGCTGCAGCATTGGTACCGATTGTGTTCTCTTAGCGGCTATGACAGTAGTTGTGGGTTTTGAGTTTGGTGTGATAGCTTTGGTGTCAAGCGGGATTTTGTGGTGAAGAAGTTTCCACAAAACCTCCACTGTGTGCATGTGACTCTTTAAGACTGTAGTAGAATGTGGATTTGAACTGTGATAAGCCTCACATAGGGAGTGAGGGAGGAAACTGTCTTTGGTCACTTTGAAAATATTCCTTATATACTTCTCTCCCTTATTTTCTTTAAGAGATTTTGAGTGTCTGTTACTGATATTTTCCTCAGGCTTATCGTAATGAGGTTATAAGGTTGTTTAGAGAAATAATAACACAGGAAACTTAGAATTGTTCATTGTGCTTTGAATGAAAACATTTCAGATTTTCTACTGTGTAGATGGGAGGGATTTTTTTAAAAAATGGAAGTGCAGTGATTGAAAGTGCAGTTGAATAATAAATTATATTTCTTTTCTAGGGTTACCTTCCACCTACTAAAAATGGTGTGGAACCAAAGCGACCTAGCAGACCAATTAATATCACCTCCCTTGTCCGACTGTCCACAACAGTACCAAACACCATTGTTGTTTCTTGGACCGCAGAGATTGGAAGAGTGAGTACATTTCTGTTTCCACCAGATTCTTGTATTATAAGGGAAGGGTGATCACCATGGCTACCGGAGCGTATATGGAAATGATACTGTAAAATAAGTTATAAAGGGATTTTTGTCTCATAGTGAATTTTTAACATGTTCCCATTTTAAAAATGGGGTCATGCAGTTCCCAATGTCTTACAACCCCATCCTTTAGCTCAGTGGTTTATCATAAATGTCTCCCTGTGTTATCACCTAGTCTTCTGCATTATTTTATATAGCTACATCATATTCCAGTGTGAATATGCCATTCGTTAGCTCTTGCTGAGCGCTTATTTGATCTGTTGATTGATGTATTTATTCCAGCGGCAAAGGACATTTTGAAGACCAGCCCAGTAGCTGTAGCTTGGCATATATACATAGTAATACCCTTACTAGGAATTCACCAAGTAGACCTGCTGAGTGAAGAGCACGCAGAATTGTAAGAGATGGTGTGCATATTGATGGGCCGCCTTCTCAAGACATGTGCACGCTTACTCTCTTCCGTTGTTTATTTGCATGCCTAGCAACACTATTCTCTTTTTAAAAGTCCTTACCAGTGTTACTGGGTAAACAGTGGCACCACTCCAGTAAGTACTCCTTTCATTCTTACTGAGATCGAACATATTTTATGCTTGTACCATTTGCATTTTTAAACTGTGTCCATGTTTCTCTGTTGCTGTTTTTCTTGTCCTATGAGTTCTTCACATACGCATTAAGAATTAACCTGGTGGGTGTGTGTCTCAGTTACTTTTCTCTTGTTGCTGAGACAAAACACCCAACACCCAAAGTTAAAGGGGGAAAGGTTCATTTAGCTCTGTTTGTAGAAGTTTCAGTCCATGATCGGCTGACTCCAAGGCAGGGGGGCTTGGCAGAGGGACATCATAGAGGAGAAGCAGTTCATGGTGGCAGAAGACAGCAAAAGCCACAAAGGAGAGAGACAAGACTCTCCCTCCCTCCCTCTCTCTCTCCCTTCCTCCCTCCTTCCTTCCTTCTCCCTCTCTCTCTCTCTTTTTTTTTTTTTTTGATACAGGGTCTCACTGTGTAGTTCAGGCTGGACTTGAACTCACTTATGTAGCCCAGGCTGGCCTCAAACTTATAGTAATCCTCCTGCCTCAGCCTCCCCAGTGCTGGTATTATAGGCATGCACCCCCACGCCCAGCAGAGACAAAGCTCTTTCTATCCCTTATATTGTATCCAGTCTACTGGCATTAGGGTGGCACTAATCCAATCAGTGGACTGATCCAGCAGTCACCCATTCTTAATCCCAGCACCGTTAATCCCAGCATTGCACTATGAATCAGTCAGACACTCTAGATTCAGCCACTTCCGAAAAAAACCCTATGACCACATCAGCTTTTGGGGGGACATCTTGACACAAATCTTAGCAGAGTGGTAGTGTACACCTGCAGTCCCAGCCACTGGAAGGCTAAAGCCATCTGGGCAGCAGTGGCAAGACCTTGTTCCCCAAAAATGAAAAGACAAAGGAAATTTAAGGGAGGGGGAGGAATTAACCTTTTATTACATGTTGCAGATATTTGCTTCTAGTTTGTTAGCCTTTTGTTTTTATGTATGTGATGATCTAATGTGTAAAGAGTTTGTTATCACAGAGCCAGATCTTAACCATTTTTCCCTGTGTGACCTTTCCCTCTCGCCCTATCTTGTGTGGTCTCTCTGCCTTTCCCCAGCCGTGTAGACAAGCTGGACTTCCAGACTTGCCCGGGTTCATGTTTTACCTTGAAAACTTTCATCTGTCTTAGAGTTACATGTTGTATGAGATTAAAAATTAATTTTTTAGTCCTAATACCATTAATTGAAATAAATACTGATTCTGAAGCCACAGTTATTGCTTATTTAATTTTTATATATCCTGGATGTATTTCTTAATTCTTTCTGGGGCAGTTTTTTTTAAAATGTAATTTTCAGATACTTATAGCCTGATAATATTAACTCAGATCTATTTGGAATTTATCGAATGTTTACTGTGTGCTGTGTACTATACTCAAAACTGGGGGAAAAAAAAGGTCCTTGTTCTCATGGGGTCTGTGATCTAGGCACTTGGTAGTTACACACAACTTACTAACCACTATACCGAGAGTACATCCTGATTCTAGAGTGTTTTTTGCTTGCTTGCTTGCTTTTCTTTCATTGGTCTTTTTGAGACAGGGTTTTGCTGATGCAGTTCAGGCTTGCCTTGAACTCACTTTGTAACCCAGGCTGGACTCAAACTCACAGCGATCCTCCTGTCTCAGCCTCCCAGGTGGATTACAGGGGATTACAGGTGTGCGCCACCACACTCAGCTTCTAGAGCATATTAAAGGGTGTATTGAACTAGAGAGACATCAGGGAGGGTGTCCATGTGGAGGTAGTGACTGGGCCAGCAGCTGAGAGAAAGGTAGGAGTTCGTTAGCTAAAAGGCACAGAGGAAACAGCCCAGCAGTGGGAGTGAGTCTGGTTATCTCCAAGAAGTGGAAAGAGCCATTTCAACTAGAACACAGAAAGTGAGAAAGAGCTGGCTGTAGTGGTACACATCTATAGTCCCAGCCCTTGGGAGGCTGAGACGGGAGGATCGCTGTGGGTCCAGGACAGCCTGACCTACAAAGTGAGTTGAAGGCCAGCCTGAACTACATAGTGAGACCCTGTCTCAAAAAGAGAGAGTGAGAGAAAGGGAGAAAAGGAGAAAGAGAAAGAGCAGTAGATGAGGTGGACCTGGAGAAGTAAGGCTGAGCCACGCAGGGCCTTGTGCGTGTTGTTAACAGTAAGGGTTTCTCTCTAATGCAGGCGGGTTACAAGGCCCTCTGTTTCTGTTTAGGCAAAGGCCCTCTTCAGAATAGGAAATAGTTTGCATGGAGGCCAGAATCATGCAGAAGTGGCCTCCTGGGAGCCGGTTCACAGAAGTAGGAGTGAGTGAGATGGTGTCTCAGCCTAGAGTGGGGGCAGTGGGTGGTGTTAGCTAAGGGGATCTGTAGGGCTAGGTGATGGTTAGAAATGTAGACACAAGAAAAGGAGGAGCCATGGACTCCTTGACTTCTGGGTTGGGCAGCAAGGGGAGTGATATTCTACTGAGATAGAGGAGACACTGAGAAGCAGCTGAGTGATGTGTAATTTATTCTGTTCTGCTTTGGAGTGGGGAGCCTTGGAGAGAGTTGGGTAGAGGAGACAGCGGGTCTGAAGTTTTGAGTTTGAGCTGCCTTTGAAACGTCCAGGCTGGACGTGGTGGCGCATGCTTGTAATCGCAGCACCCGGGAGGCTGAGGCAGGAGGATCCTTGTGAGCTCAAGGCCACCCTGAACTGCATAGTGAGACCCTGTCTCAAAAAGACAAAAACAAATAAACAAAGAAGAAACATCCGGAATAGGCAGTCGGGTGCATGGACTCAAAAGATGAGTTTGGGCTAGAGAAAAACCGGGGGTCGTCTGCATGTTAGTGGTTATGGCGCTGCACAGGCAGGGCCCACATCGCTCAGAGAGCGTGTATCCAGTGGGGATGGAGAGGAAGAGTGCCTGAGACCCATCCTTGGGGCACTGTGGCACTTAATGCTGGGGAGGGAAACGAGCCTGTCGTGTTAGTGAGGAGGCAGTGACAGACCACGGGCGGAGCGGGTGGGGGTGAATCTGACAAGTCAAGAGACAGTTTCGGAAAGGAAGGAAGTGGTTAGCGTTGTCAGCAGGTGCTGAGAGGTCACGTGTGTCACAGACCTTAAAGTTGGGAACAGGAGGTAGGAACGTGAGGGTGCCAGTGTGAGCTGTGTGCTAGGTTACGGGAGAAGCCACGCTGGGAGAAGCTGGGGTGGGACGCGGTGGAGAGGACAGGTGACAGGAGTGGCTTTGGAGAGACCCGAGGGTGGCCGGGAGGGGCGTGCGAGGTGATGGGGGCTGTGACGTGTTAGAGGGGCTGGCGGGGACCTTCAGAGCTTGGCTGTACAAGGGGTCATGGGTAGCGAACAGCACGCTGGAGGAACGCAGGGCGGCCGGGACACACGCTGCTTGGAGTGGCTCGGATCTTGACACGAGTGGGTGATAGTAACGTAGCTCGTGTCTGTGTGGGGACGTGTGAGGTCGCTGAGAGTGAAGGAGGAGACAAGGGCTTTGAGGGCGATGGGAAATAGTTGGAGTGAGGCCTGCTTCGGGATATCACCTTCTCACGTTTCCTTCCACGCGAGCTGGAGAGTCTGTTTGTTTACAATGATATAGACCCATTCTGGGAACAGGATTTTGTTTACTCGGGGCCTGTTTTGTGTTCAACAGGCATTTAACAGATTTTTGTTGTTTTTGCCATGTTTTTTTAAAAACTCCCATGTTGGTGATTATTGTTACTGCTGTTGTCAATAGATCTTTTAAAATTGTTTTCTAAAGTATTTATTGTTGGTTTGTGTAAAAGCTGGTTATTTTTGGATATTTACTTATATCTAAATTCCTGTATTCGGTCAGGTTTTTAGTTGATTTCTTGAGATTCTATGTAAGTAGTTTGGAGTTTGAATGAATCATTAGTAAATACCGGTAATCTAATGCATATGCTGTTATTTCTTGTTCTGCTGTCTAGAACGTTTTGAGCATTGTTAAAGAACCCAGGTGCTAGTGAGCATATTTGACTCGTTCTTTCTGTGGTGAGAATCCTGCCACTGTCGCAGCATTAAGTATTATGGAGACTGCTGGTTTTTGATAGAACTTAGCGTGTCAATGATGTATTTCTGTGTTTTTCTTTTCCTGATTTCTTTGTTAAAAATTGATTTTGAATTTTTAAATATCCTCTTGCCATCCATTAGGATTATTTATGCTTTTCCTTTAAGTAATTCATGTGTTACCTTTAGGTTTTCTTGTTTTGTTTTGTTTTTGGTACCAGGAATCAAACTTAGGACCTTGAGCTTGCCAGGCAGATGCCATGGCCCTGAGCTACATTGCTGGCCAACCTTTAGGTTTTAAAAATCCTTATGAATGTTTATTTGTAGTATGCCCGGTTCTCTCCCTGCCCTCTTTTGAAGAAGGAATTGAGATTGTTTTGCTCTTGTGTATGGAGACTATAGGCCACCAAGGAAGAACTGGGGTGTCCCCAGTGAAACACGCAGGAGGCCTGACACTGAGGGGGGAGGCAGTTGCTGATTGACAGTGGGAGGGGAAAGGAAAAGCTCTTCCGGGAAAGGCTTCCAAACCGCGGAGAGGGAGGCCTACAATTTGGAAACCTTTTGAAAAGAAACATTGAGCTTTTGAAAGAAAATTATTCTTTTAAAAAAATTATTCTTTTCCAAAGCTCAGAAGATACTTGATTATTTTTAGATTACTATTTTAGGGGGCTGGGGATTTAGCTCAGCGGCACAGCACCTGCCTGGCAAGCACAAGGTCATGAGTTCGATTCCTGGTACCAGAAGAGAAACAAAAAATCAAACAAAAAACAACAAAAAGATTACTATTTTAATTCAACTTGTAAAGGTACTCTGAATAGTTCCTGTAGAATCTGTTTTGCATATCATTTTGATTGGTTGCCATTGAGAAATACTATAAATATGTCTTTTCAAAGAAAATAAATAAGAGGACTAGCATAGCATCTGAAAGGAATAAACGAACTGTAACTTGCATCTCAATCACTGCATTTAGCATTTATTAAATGGTTAGTATTTGTAGTATTTGTAGTAATTTGAAATTGCTTAGATACTGTACACGGTACATAATGAGATGTTTTAAGTATGGAGAAAGTATCTTACACACTTGATAAAAAATTTTGAAGGCGTTTGAAAGACAATAGGCAGGGGCTGGGGATTTAGCTCAGCGGCACAGCGCCTGCCTGGCAAGTGCAAGGTCGTGAGTTCTATTCCCAGTACCAGAAAAAAAACAAAACCAAAACCAAAAAAAAAAAAAAAAAAAAAAAAAAGTTCATGAGAAACAATAGGCAAAAGTAAGAGTGTAATACAATATATATTGAAGTTAGGTAGTACTTTGAAGGGTTAGCAGGAAGTTATAATATCAGTGTAGAAGATACACTGCCACTATTAAGTTTTGGGGATTTTTGCTGTTGAACCTCTTTCCAATTCTATAAAATTCCATCCTGACAATCTAGGCGGCATTTGTTAATGCCTGGTATTCTTTTTTGCAGCTCTTGTTTTCTGTCTTCCTTCTCCTCTGTTTGGTTACATGTTTCAGCCGGAGCGAACGTACCTTTTTCACTGAACTTGTTGTTGTGGTTTTTACTTGATCTTTTCTTAAATATTTATATAAAGCCTTAGGGTAATTCCAAGTTCTAATGATTCAAGCTGTCAGTACAGAATTTCTCAGTGTTAATTAGCATTTCTTCAGTTTCTATTATATTTGAAGCACTAAGCAAGTCAGAAATAATGGTAAATAATGCATTCTTTTTCCCTAAGAGAAGTTTATTAGGTCTGTATTACATTACTATGTTTTCTTCTTTAAAATTTGGGAACATTTTAAGGTTATTTGTTTCTCCTTAATATAATGAGAAATTTAGCAGTGAAAGAAAATGTATTTTGTTGATGCTTCATTTTTTAAACCTCAGAAAACATGTAGCATGTGAACATGGGTAGATTTTTTAACTTTAAATGAAAATACTACCTGTAGGATATTTCCTCTTGTTGCCAACAGGTGGATACACTTTCAAAAGTATGAAAGAAAATGAAAGTCAGAATGGCTGTTGGACTAGGCTAGGAGGTTCAAGCAAGTAGGGTGTGGGAAGACGAGACTTACTGAGAACTGCTCTGGCCTTGGTCACTAAGTCCCTTTTTCTGGCATCCCTACCCTTTCCTCTTGGTTTCTGGTGCCTGCTACGTTCAAGTAGTTACCTGATCTTAAACAGATTATGTAATCTTTCTGTGCCTGAGCGATTTTATCAGCCCTTCACCTAGAACAGCACCTATCGTTTTCTCCTGTAGCATATTCTCTCTCTCCTATGCTTCTGCAAATTTCAAATGAAGTCAGCAGTACTGTGTATGTTAAGAATGTTCTGAACACTGTATGTGGCTATGAAATATAAAATAATAGTGATTTTGTTTTTCTTTTGCTTCTTTCCAAATTTCTTGATGTTCCTCTTCACTCCGGCACCCAGTGGAAAATGGTCTTTCTTTCTTAGGTTGCTGTCCCAGCTTTCATAAGTCTCAGCCGTGTTTTCTTCTTTTTATCCAGCCATGTGTCCTTCACTCAGCCCTGACGTGGCATCTGTTTGCATTGTCCTGTTCTCCGACTGTTATCTTGAGTATTCCCTCAGTGGTAGTGGATGTTCATTGATCTTTTCCTTTGCCAAACCAGCAGCTTCTCTTTGCAAACCTTCTTTAATATTCCATCTGCTTGTGGTGATCATGACCAAATAGTCTCTTCAAGAGCTAGTGGAAGGCATAGAGAAAGGTTAAAAAGCATAGTTTAGAAAGCCAGTCTCACTTAGAATTATTTAAATAGCTATATTTTAAATATGTCTGTTACTTGCTGTGCTGTATGTGTTTTGTGATACCTTGGACAAGTTCATGACCTTGGTTCGTGTTTAGTCATTAACAGTACTCCTTCTCGTTAGTCCCTTATATTCCTTAACTTAAATTCTAGGTAGTCAGGTAATATAGAAGCATGGCGGACCTGGGTTTAAATTCTAAGCTTGTCACTCAGAAACGGTGAAGTTAGGGCAGATTCTGTTACTCCCCCACACTTCAGTGTTCTCATCCATAAAAATAGATCTGTGACCACCTTAGTAGTTCTCTGATCAGGATTAAATGAAGTGCTGTTCAGGAAAACACCCAAGACAGTGCATGACACACAGTAGGTGTTTTAAGAAGTGTTAGTTTTCTTTCCCTATTGCTGTCGGATTGAAATAGATACACTATTTACTTACAATATGTTGTTTATTTTCTACATCTTTTGTTTTCCAGACCTATTCCATGGCAGTGTATCTTGTAAAACAGTTGTCCTCAACAGTTCTTCTTCAGAGGTTACGAGCAAAGGGAATAAGGAATCCGGATCATTCTAGAGCGTTAAGTACGTATGATAAACTTACTTCGTTTATGCACCTAAAATATTTCGTTAAAGGGTAGAATAGTGTTTTCTCAACACCAGAAATTTTAGCATTTGTTTCATTTAATTTTTTTTACTAGAGCCTGTTGTGGAGGATTTAAAACTACTAAAAGTAGTTCTAACGTCTTTACCGTGAACTATATTTTGTAACCTATACTGATCTCACAGTTCTGTAATCACTTACTCAACCCAGAAAAATATTTTACTACAACTTCATCAAATAATTATTTAGGGAGTTTGAGGAGGTGGCCTGGAAATCTTGGTGTACATCTCAAGAAAATTACTTTAGGTTGGAAGGTTATTCTAGGTCCAGGAGAGTGTACGGGCTGTGTGATGACCAGGTCTGGGCACCGGCACGGTGGAAAGGACGGGCAGTAGACATGACAAGGACTGGTTCTGTTGTTAGCCAAGTATGCGGCCTGGGAAGAGCCCCCTAAAAGTCCTCACACACACCTAGAGGCTTGTCCTGTGCGGCTTCTGCAGCACTGCGGCGGGCTCGCAGATATGAGTTATTCTGCCGTGTTGAATTTGAAGTGCAAGGTCTGCAAGTGGACTCACTGGCCTCAAATTTGGGCATTAGTGACCTTTCCAAGGGGTGAGCTAAATTTTTCCTTTATTTTCTTCTTTGTGGCATAGATTCTTCATAGATGGACTTAGGGGTGAGGCCTCAGTGCTTGAGGAGCAACATTTTTACGGGCAGGACTAGATAGCTGTCCTTCAAGGGTCTGGATGTGAGCTGAATAAAGAAGCCTGCTGTCAGGTTTGCAGTTAGAAACACTGGTGCAAAGTTTCGTCTCATTTTTTATATCATAGCTTTTATTCCCTTTCTCTAACCTATAGCTTCTAACCTCTGCCCTGCCAGAGTAAAATATTCCACTGCTCTGAATAACAAAACATGTTTAATTGTTCATTGACGGATTTGTCTATGTTAATAGGGCCCTCTTAAAGATGAAAGAAGCCAGGCATGGTAGTGCACACCTAGGGCTCCACCTACCTGTGGTAGGAGACTGAGGCAGGAGGGTCACTTGAGCCCAGGAGTTCAAGAACAGCCTGGGCAACATAGTGTGAAACCTGTCTCAAAACGACACGAAAACCTTCTGGTCAAAGCATTCGTGGGCAGGTGGAGTTAGAGCGATGGAACTGTTTGGGAGAGTTGGGAGCACCGTTGGGTGAGACAAGAAGATAGCGGGGACCCAGAAAGTAGAGAGGCAGAAGAGGAACTGTTTTCCCCACAATCCTGCTGAAGTTACTCCTTCCTGGTCATTCCAGTGACGTCCTCACGTCTGCCTCACAGTATGAAGGGAGTGGAACCTCAGCTGTCAGCGTTGTGGGATTATACGAGCCCCGGTAGAAAAGGGAACGGCAGGAAGTCAGGCAGATAAAGCTGTTGGGTTTAACAGCGAGGCCAGCTGCCTGCCTGGGCTTCAGAGGCTTCGCCACTCGTAGCTGTAGCACCACCTGGAGGGAGAGTGGGAGGGCGAGCCTGGAATTTCATGTTCCTGCGAGAACAAACCACTGTTGGCTGCTGTTAAGTACCAGAACTTGCTGAATTCAAAAGCTGTTTATTTTCCACACCGGTACACTGCTAGATGTAAACAGTAATTGCCCACAGAGTGAGATTTTTATGGCTGTTTGTATCCTACCTGATTGGCCAGGGAGTACCAATGAAACATTAATTTGGATCCCACCAGTAAGGGATTTATTTAAGCAGCTGAGCGTTAATTAGCTTCTGTTACCTTTATAAAATAAGTTTTCCAACAATTGTGTAATTAAAATATCATTTTAAGTAACTTGACAAAAGAAAATGTTATCGGGTATCTTAGACATTTTTGAAGAATTAAATTACTTATTATAAATAACCGTATGAATAAATTCTGCCGGCACTGTTTTATTAGCTCAGTTGGGCACCGTTATGTGCTTGAAAGGCTGAAGTTGATGTATTTGACTTCTCACAGGGAGACCCATTCTGTGATTCGTTTGACTTACTGGATTCTATTACTGGGCTTTTCACCTTGTGTCTTGACGTTTGCGTAGCATCCCTGAACTCCTGGTCAGGTTTCCCTTTGCTCTCTCTTCTCCCCGCAGCAGTTCCTTCAGGCTCCTACCTTGCTCTTCTCAGGTCCGATCCTCCCGCTCGGAGCACACTGTCAGCGTAAGAAAAACAGGGCTATCAGGTGAATTCTGCCGGGGACGGAGGCTGAGGCGGGTGGATTGCCGTGATTGTGAGGCCAGCCTGGAGTACTTGGCAAAACCCTGTCTCCAAAAGAAAAAAGATGGCCAAAAATGGAATTTTTGAGCCTGCCTATTAGTTGTTGCTCTTGGCGTGACCACAGTTCCTTTTCGGCTTATCTACGTTTGCGCCCCTCTTCACTCTGTTCCCTGCGTTCTCAGGAGTAAGTGTGCCTTTTCGTGCTCAGGGTTAGTGGGGTGCTCGTCCCTTCTCCCGGAAGAAATCCCTTTAGGGGTCTCCCACGTCCCGGCAACAGGAGCCTGTGGCGTTACACAGAAGAGGCGCGCGCCGCGGGTCTCCCGGAAGTGTGAGTGTGAGGGGGACAGGCACGAAGTCCTGTGAGTTGCTGATGAGTTACAGTCGTGACCTGTGCCCGGAGGAAGAGAGACGGGCGCTCTGTGCAGCAGGGTTGTGAGGGCAGGGAGGGGTGCCCCCGAGACGACAAGGGGTCATTCCAAGACGAAAGGTCGCGAGACCTGGAGGGGAGAGAGGAGGGAAGCAGCCAGAGAGACAGACAAGCGTAGACGCATGTTCTTCAGGGATGAGGGGTGCGGTGCTGGGGATCAAACATCTCGGGGCCTCGTGCGTGCCAGCTAACTGCTTTATAACTGAGCCGACCCCTAGCCACCATTGAAGGGTTTTTAAGCACGTGAATGAAATAGAAGTTGAAAGTTTTGAGCAGCATCGGAAGATAGACGGTGCACTGGTGGTGTACCGGGGGCGGGGGTGTACATGTTTTACTTCATGAGCACCAACATGTGAGTGCTGCTTACGGACATGGAAAGCTTCTAGGAAGATGAGGCCGCAAAAGAGAGATCTCAGTGTACTCTTTACACTTGGGATATTTTGCGGTGGGACCAGGCATCCAGGTGGAGGTGCTCAGAAGTGGTCTGAAGAGACCGGACGTCTTCGCCTGCCTGTCCCCTGCCCTGTTGCCAGTGCGTCCCTCTCTCCTGGCTCCTCCTGACCCCCTCGCTGTCCAGTCTCTTTCATCTAGTAAGAGTAAGAAGAGAAGCTCCTGAAGACAGAGCTCCCTGTTCTCCGTTCTCCTCCACGACGTGAGCTTTGTGTCCCTTCTCTGCATCTCTCCTGGTCTCTTAACCCCCAGTTTCACCGGAATTGCTCTTGCAGTTGTCACAAGTGACAGTCTGGTTGCCAGATACAAAGTTTTATCCTTTCGGTTCTTATCATGGATGTTTCTGCTACCTTTGAGGCCGGCCACGTACTCCTTCAAATTTTCTTTTTCTGTTTCACTGACTATTTCTCCTTCGTCACTTGTCTTCAGTGGGTTGTCTTAAGAGAAGCGTCCTAATTGTCGTTCCCTGGAGTTCCGTCCTTGGCCCACTTTTCTGTATACTTGCTGTGTAGACGGTCACATCTGTTCTTGCCCTTTCAACTAGGAACGATACCTCGTTTTCTCAGGTCTTGACCCTGAAGTTCAGGTTTATATGACTAACTGCCTTCCCCTTCACTGGTTCCTCAAATTCAGGTATTTGAAACTAACCTCACTGAGTCCTACCAAACGGATACTTTAAATATTCCTCAAATCATTTTCCATCACTGCCCTCATTGAAACCCCGTGTCCTGCCTTTCTTTTAGAAATGTATTCATAAATAATACATCTCTCTCCATCCATGTTTGACTGTCTGAGAACCTCCACAGGTAGCAACCCTACTGGCCATGTCCGCATCTGATCTTACCATCCCCTCCTGTTTCTTGGCTCCGCCACCCTTGGGAGGAAAGCGCTCTGGCTTCCTTAGCAGGACATGGCGCTTTCCCGGCTGCAGCGTGGTTTGTTTGCGTTCCTCCCATACTTCACATTCCAAAGATACCTAATTCTTTTCTCTCCCTCCATGCTGTGGTGTTGTCCTCTGTCCCCTAACCCTTCCCAGCTATCTCCTTTGCCTGACATTCTTCTTCATGTCTTACTTTTTCCAGGCGGCGCCTGGAACCTCCTGAGTAGAAGACTTGATTCTCAGTTAGCTTCCTACACAACTTCCATCAGAGCACGTTAGAGACGCTCTCACTGTGACTGTGGGTATAGACTACGAGCGCGTTTCGGCAGGGAATTTGATCTTTGTCCTTTTGCAATTTCTGCTGCCTAGCACGATGCTGTGCACATAGTAGACCTCAGGTTTTTCTTGATTTTAACTGATAAAAAGAGGGCTAGAATGAAAATCATGTCTGGTGCCTCTGTTTCCTTGCCTGGAAAATGAATGTTGAGCTTGATATGTTTGGTTGTTTCCAGCCTTAAAATTCTAAAAGACAGAACTAAAATACTCTTACTTAAGGAAGGTTAGGGTTTGTTGTAGAACAGTAGCAACCCTAGAACAGCGCTATCTGATGAACTGTCGTGATGATGGAGATGTTCTAGCTGCGCGGTTCCGTATGGTAGTCACCAGGAACATATGGCCATTAAGTCCTTAAATGTGGCTAGCGCAACTGAAGAACTGAGTTTTCAATTTTCTTTAAAATTATTTAATTTAAATTTAAATACAGTTTCATGTTACTGACTCTGGTAGCTCATAACAAGAAAGATTAAAAACATTACTTTTTATCATGACTGCCTCTCACTAGCAGTTATGTAATAAAATACTGTCATCATTGCAGTAACCCCGTAACACAGGAAAGCTTTGATTCTCAGAGGACTCCCCATACTTCCTATCTTCTCACTACTCACTTGGGTTAATTTTTTTATGTTGTACGGGATAAGGTCCTTTTTCCCTCGTATGGA